GAGGCTGGGGGCTCGCTCGGAGCAGAGACCCAGCTCTGCCTGCAAGATGGGCAAACCCGCACGCTCCAGCCGTGGGGTCCCATGCGGGCGAGCTCCCACGGGCACCGAGCATCCCCCAGCACCCAAAAGGCATCCTAAGACCGCCCAGATGCATAACACCATCCTTTAAGCAGGGAAACAACCCCTGTTTGCCAAAAACTACCACTACGAGCCCCTTCTTGGGGGGTGAGAGAGGGCAGGGGGGAGCAGAAAACAACTGTCTGCAGGGGAGCAGGCGCCCAGCGCTCTCAGTCCCCGGGCACCAGCACCGGTGCCCCCATCCCGGCCACGAGCATCCCCCCAAGGTGGGTGACTCTCCCACCCATCCCCAGGAGCCGGCCACACTCTGACCGGCGTAGCTGGCCCTAAACTAGTTAGGCAGGATGGGTCCCCGGGGAGGCACTAAGAAATCCATGAGAATTAACTGAAGGGGAGAGAATTCAATTAGGGATGGGGACAGGCAGCTGCTAATCCGAGCCGGCCACGAGAGGGGAGCTGCCCCGGACCTGCCCGGCCTCATTAGTGGGGCAGGCGTCTCCGTAACCCCTTGAACCCCTCTGTTTGCCCAGACGTTGTTTGCAGGTTGCGAGGAGCCGGGCTGGCAGGCAGCGGGAGGCGGCTGTGCCGCACCGACCGGCCCCGGCAGCAGCCCCGGCCCCTCCGCGGCACCTCCGTTATCCTCAGCAAGAAAAGCACCCAGGGCTCCTCTCGGCACAGCAGCCCCCACCTCGGCGAGGCGCACCGGCCAAGCCCCCGACCCACTGCACTCGTGAGCGGGGACACTTTGCAGCCCCATTCCTTGGCCCAAAAAGAAGTATTTTCCTGTCCATGTTCTTACTGATGCTTTGCAATAGGAAATGTACTTAGGTTTTTTATCTTCTGGCTGGGTCTGGGCATCACCGGGATTCAGGTCCCCCGGTGCACCGGGCGTCGCAGGGACCCGGCACAGCCCCACCACACTCTCTCGATGATCCCCGAGGCGGCATCTCGCTCTCTGCTCAATAGGGAAGAGCTAACAGACTCTCCGCGGCAAACCCTGTTCACGGCTTAGTTTGGAATCAGCACGTGCTGCTGTACCCGAAGCAGCACCCCGGGCCCCGCAGGACACGGGCTGTCCCCCGCAGATGCTGCTGATGCTCGGCCGCGGCTTCGTGAAACAGAGGGTGAGGACGGGCTGCAGGGACAGCCCTGTGAAACCCCCACGGTGTGCAACGCAACACCCGATTGCGAGTCCCGTCTCGGCACAGAGAGACTTTAAATCTGGTTTCTCAGCCTCAGAGGGATGTATGGACTCCTCCCTGTCCTGTCCACGTCTCGGCCACAGCAGAATTGTCCCCCCAGAGTCAGGTCTGGATTCTCTCTGGCTTTGCCTCACTCCTGCACCTCTGACACTTGAAGATAAAGGCATAAATCAACGCTACTTCTGCTCAGCAAAGAGAAATCCTCGCGCTCGCCCTCGCTCCTGAGCAAGGCACTGAGCCAGGAGGGCTTCAGGGCCACCGAACCGGAGCAGTCAGTGGCCCTGTAGGACCACGATGGAGGGGGAAAAAGCAGGACCAGGCTGTGAGCCCCAGCCTTAACAGAGGCAGCGCCGTCCCTCATGGTGTTCCTGTCCCCTGCCAGGGGAAGCTCTGCTACCACGTGGGATGGACACACATGTCCTTGCCTTGGTTGGAAACTGGAAGCGGGATGAGATGGGATGGGATGGGATGGGATGGGATGGGATGGGATGGGATGGGATGGGATGGGCTTCTCCTCCTCTTCCCAGCTCTGCCACCGCCCTCCCCGGGGGCCCCGGGACAAGCCCGGGCTCCGTGTGAACACAGCCTCATTCACTGCACTTCCAGGCTGGGGAGCAGGAGGAAATTGGGAACAGATGAAGTCATGAGGATCCCCAGGGCACGTCGCCTGCGCCTTGTAGCCCGGCTTTCCTGACCCGGCCTCCCCGGAGCTGTGGCCAGCAGGGCCAGACCCTCCGAGCCCCCCGGGGACTGGGCAGCCCTGACCCATCTGTGGTTCTGGCAGGAACGATGCTGTCCGTGTTGAACCCGACCTTCACGTGCTTCAAATCCACGTGTGCATTCTTCCAGCGTCACCAGAGCGTGAACACAGGGACCAGCCCCAGGAATACAAGTCCTGGTCCCTGGCGGATGCACAACTGCCCTGGCTAAGTTCAAACAAGGACCACTTCTCTCCGGGGAAGCCAATCTGCCGGTCCCTAGCGAGCAACCGCTGCAGGGCAGAGCCAACAAACCGCGTGAGCTCAAAACCACCGAAAGCGATGGGCGAAGAGGTGTTACCCACACGTGGACCTACCTGATGGCACCCGGGGGGCTCCGAGTCAACAGTTTGCTCTGGAGAAGGGCAGCGAGAACCTGAATTTCAGCCTCAGCCTTATCGAAAATCTCTCTCCCTGACCATCACCCCATGAACCTCACTCGGCTCCTCTCCCCTCCGCGAGCCCCAGCCCGGCAAACGCCGGCTGAGTCCCTCCCGGAGGGGACCCTTTGGTGCCAGCCGGAGGAGCTGGCTCCGTGTTAGGGCCAGATCCTGCATTTGGCCCCCGTGACCCCCTCCCCCAGTCCTGTCTCCCGTCCCAGTGAGGGGGCTCGGGGTCCGGCGCTTCGCCCGCGCTCGGCGTACATTAGACGCAGATGACTGGGTGCAGCTACCGGGGTAAGAGCCGCCGTCACTTTGATTTATGAGCACATCAGGAGGAGTTTCGGCGTGACACACGGGACTGACAGGAGCAGTTCATTAAGCTGACACTGAGGTTAGGCGGCAGGCAGGCCCTCCCCG